CGCCGACGCTAAACAAGCATCCATCCTACACTAAAGCACTTCCCAGAGCCACTGATAGGGGTAGGTAGCCAGCCAAGTCACTGACCTGCATCACAACACAGCAAATACTGCACTGTGGTTATGTCTGTTGCTGCATCAGATGTGCCGGGGGTGGTTGATACATTTCCGACCGAATAACTCCTCCAGCGCATGCGCTTTGGTCATCACATTTGCTTATCACTTTTGGATCCATCGTACGACCAAATACCTCGTACCGAATTCCACTGCAGGGTCATGACTCTCTGACTCCTTTTTTTCCCTTTCTCCGGCGACGGAATACTCCGTCACTCAGTCAGCCTTTAACGATCTCCGACTAGATCTGCCCCATTTGGTTTCCAATAGTGTCTACTTAAGTACACCCGTGAATAGCATCCAGTCTACCTATCTAACCGGCCTCGTCGGCTCCGGCGCACCGTGAAAAGCGCATCCCACTCCCACTCCCGAGTTCCCCTAGTGCTGCTTTTCGCTTCCCAGGATCCGTTGCCTAAAAGCACGGAGCAAGTGTGCGTGGTGGTTTTTTCTTCCCTTGATGTCTCGGGGACTACGGAGTAGTATCCTCTCTCTGTCTCTCATTCCCTAGTCTAGCATTCAGCGTTCAGTCCCCGAGCCCCGCAGAGCATACACACACACAACTCTACCCTTACCAATCCAGTAAGCGACATGTTAGTTCAACAGCCGCCGACCCCATACCTAACCTACTAGTGGTCTGCCCCTCTTCAAACCGGGCAGACAAAAAGAGAGGCTTAAAATTACTTGTTTGCTCACCACCCCCAACACGCACGGGCATCTTCATAATTACTTACATACCTGACTAGCTAGTTAATTTATCTAATTAACTAAATGACTAAGTTAGCTGATCGACCGAAGTCGCTGACTGACCTGACCGTCCATTCTCCTCGGTTCGGCCCCTCCCTCCCTCCCTTTCTCCCCCTTTCCGTTAACGGCCAGCCCGCATTCCTCCCGTATATGATGGGGAGGAAACGGGGGAGAAACGGGGGAGAAACGGGGGCTTTGAAAGGGAAGGGAATTATCAAACCTCCCATCAAGTTGTTTCATGTCCGCATGCGACAACGTCTACTGACTACTAAATCCGGACATCTATGAATACTTGTCCTTGATTGGCGCGGATAATTTCGCTGGGCTGGTATGTCAGCCCGACAATTCTAAGGTGATGAGTCAGGTAGGTATAGAGTCGATCAGTCGATGTTTGATGGGATTCTGTAACGGCGGAGGAATGCTGAAGCTTAGATCTACTCTACTCGTAGCTTTTACTACTGACATGCCCATTCCTGACGTGCATGGCTGGTATGACGTACGCGTAGAGGATAATTTCTGTTGCTGAAATTGAAGGATGAAAAGGATATCGTAGCTATGAGTGGTCTAGACGGAATTGGAATAACTAGAGTGGTTTGTAATGAATAGGGATCGGTTGAGATTGAAATATGAAGGTACTACTCAATCTTGCTATATATTAGAAGAATGATAGGGTAGTCTATTGAGTAGGTTGAGGAATGTCAGCTGGCAGGTACACCCTAGTATATACTAGTAACAAGAATTGATCATTAATAACATCCTTGCTATCATATTGTTAATTGTGGGCACAAGCAAAAATGCTAATCAAGCAAATTACAAGTCATACTTTGTGCTTACAGCAATTAGAGCTAATGAATTCGGTGAAATCTTAGTACTATACCGGAGCAGCAGCCTTTCTACAGTGAATTTATCATGTCTACGAAAGAAGAATGCTTCATCAGGGTAACTGCCATATGCCGACTCACCATATATTGTTGCTGCTATCCTCGGGACATAACACAGCTACTAAGGTATCATTGCTGAACTCAGTTAGTCGTTTACCCCTCATATCTAACCCATGCTAGCATATTTCCATATAACAAGATATAGGCAGTATGCCTCTCATGTAAAATCTAGTAAAGATTCATAATACTATCTGTTATCCTACATCATCCCGGATGGTTCCCATAATTAAATACCAACTTGCATATAGTCCGTTCTAGACTCGGTATGGAGATAGCACAGAACGATCGTGATATATAATCCCTCTCCAGCATTGTGTGTATATCCAATTGATATTAAAATTCATTTCTACTAAAAGTAGCCTGGTACCCATGGAGGTTGAATCTACTATACTCCATACGGATATAAATTAGAAAACAAAACTGTTATCAACATGATGCCCCGATAGGAGGGTACTATCATTTGGAACTATGATCACTACTACTACTACACTACTACCAAACCGCCGCCCAACCACCACATACAATATATTTATATATATACTATTATCTGAATAAACAATTACGCTTGACTGTTGTAGACAAATCACAACATAACCAATTCAGAGTTTTAGATCTCCCTTTATGCGCATAATGTAGGTATATCAGTCAGACTGCCCAACGTATCATATCATTATATTGCTTGTACCGCTCACCGAGCATTCATGCACCCAGTGGCTGATGGCCAGCATTGAAGATTCAATATCCCTTTTCATATTTGACATGGTTAGTGTCTCTGGGGAGACGAGGCGCTTGGATTTTCATGTACTGCCAATTACTTTTCATTTTGCTTGCTAAACAAGATAAGTAACTTGAGTAACTAGTTTCATGTAGTTTGTAGTATTCCTTGGTACTTGCTTATAAGTAGAATGGATGCCGTGACATAGTATATGGTACTATTTTAGAAACTAGCTGGTCGATAAATTATGTTATAAGCTTACTTACTAGTTTCAGCAACCGAATTATGAAATTTATAGACAGTAGAATTGACGATAGCGGGCTGTTGATTCCATCTTCTTGTTAAGATAGACCAATAGTTTCTCTTATGATAAATATCATATGCTGGGGAATGTGTCAGTCATAGTGTTCGATAGCACTATCTATGATACTGCCTCATCTAATAGATTTACGCCGAAATTGGTAAATCGAGGCAAATTAGGGAACATGTCCACATTAGTGACGTTATGAATCATCAATTATAGAAAACCAAACATATCCCCAAGATATATACAACACATCCATCTCTTGTAACCAGCACAAGAACCCATGGATATCCATCCTATGAACAAAGATTCCCACAAAAGGCCTAAGTAAGGTCCAATCCCTCTGATTTCTCGAAGATCGTACTCCAATAATCTGTCGTCTTGGAACATATATCATCCCTTCCCTTCCAACTGATACTCTTACCCTCTAGAGCACACGCCGTCCAAAGAATCTCTTTCCAGTATGCTTTCTCCGTCTTTATTCCACCAAAAGCCTCTACCACATCGTCCGGTGCCGTCCACGCCCGCGTATACCTCCCTCGCTCATCAACGACAGGCCCATTGTCATTGAACACCGTAGCTGGATTGAACTTGGGAAAGTTGACGTGGACAAAGAATGGATGTGGGGGCGGTACGGCTGCGCCCCGGATGCGCCACTCGCCTTTCTTGGTCAAGGCATAGTCTTCTATCGGATTGTACTGGACCATGGTGGACCCTGCAAAGCCATCGGGCGTCCCCCTACCAACAGCGCGAATTGGCTCGCTGACTTGATAGAAGGGCTCGTTAAGGACGATTGCTGCTGCAACGAAGGTCTCTTTGTCGCCTTCCCCGGCGGCGCCTTGCGAAAGAAGAGGGTAGTAGTGGCTTGGGCCGTAGAAGTTGTAGTATGCTGCGAGCAGAAGGGTCCGGGTATGCGTTCGCTTGGAGAGGAGCAGTTCTCCAGACTCGGTGGATTGGCGAATTGTAGCGGGATTTTGTTGTTGTTGGATTTGTTGCTCTTTGTTCTTCCCGGCCGTTTTATCTTGTGTCACAATCTCGTAGTATAGCGGTGACGTTGTCGGCCGCCAGAAGTCTGGCCAGGTGACTAGACCTTTTGAGCTAAAGGGTTCGGATTTGAATAACACTTCCGGGTCCTGAAGAGCAAATGCATCTGCGTCTAGGAAGAGGATCTCCTCGAACGAGGAGAACATCATGGCAAAGATTTTGTATTGGTATTTCTCGATGGAGGCCTTGCTGTCGGTAACGGCATCAAGGATCTCAGACAGAACGACACATTGCGCATTGAGGGAGGGAAGAACGACCTGACAGACATAGCCATCGTACTCGTCCCAGCTAGCGAGGAAGACTTCCATCGGAAGGTTTGAGCCACTCTGGCGAAGCATCCGTAGGGAGATAACGAGGACCGGGAGGTAAGAGCCGCCAGCTGTTGAGACGAGGCCACGAGTGTGAGCTTGGTAGTGTAGTTTTGGTGGGGTCTGCTTAAGCATATCGAGGAATTTACTGTGCGCTATTCTCATCGCGGAGACATCCTCTTTGGACAGGCGAAGTAAGTCAGGCAGTGGATCTGTGTTTTTCGGGTCGAAGCCCTCAGACTCGGCGTTTCTGATCCTCGTAGGAGAATTGGCGTAGGGCTCTGAGGCCACCAGCATGGGATGAAACTCAGTCCAGAACTGTTCATGGCTGGTAGACGTCGTGGTGTTCTGCGACCGACAGGATGCGAGCGTCCAGATGAAGATGGCTACCAGCCCAAGGGTGATGAACATGCTCCGTCGTCGGAGCTGCGCTCGGAACGCAGCCATATTTGTGTATCACTGAGTCTCTCCAGGAGTCATGTCTCGGCTGGAAATTGGGATGTCTTGTGGTAGTTTTGTGTTGTCCGACAAATGGGATTGTAGGTGGTACGGCGCAGTGTGAATGATGAAGATGTCGCAGCGCGGAGGTGAATTTGGCCAGCCCAGCAGCCTGCGGCTGAGCTATGCCCATAATAAGCAAAAGCAGGACGAGGATCCTGGCGCCAAGTATATTTGATGATTGGATGGCAGAAGATACATATTAGCAGAGTGGCACTAACGCACCGTGTACCGCAATCTAAGCCAACCGGCGCTTAACGCAACGGACCGTCGCAGAACGGACTCCAACTTGGCCCGGACGGCGCAGCAACGAGCGTACCACATTGTTTGACACGGCAAGGATCGTCCTCAACAAAGGATTAATGTGCCCTTTAGCCACAGGAGTAATTTGAGGGCTCACGGCGTGTAGAGAGAGACGGGCATTGGCCGTGCGGTTAAGCCAGCAATCCTTCCTCGTTTGGGTTTGCAAGGCTGTTTTCATTAATGAAGCCCACGTCACGCAGGTCAGGGGTCATTACTCGAATTTGAGCGTTCTATTCGTCGATAAGAATAACCGCCTGGAGGCTGTCGTTAGTCGACCACCGAACTTTATACGGTGCTAGCCTGGATGATAATAGTCCGAAGTAGTATCCCTCTCTGCTCCCATGGGGGGTGATCTTGAGGTCTTATGAGCTGGGTATTCTCCCGATTCCCTCCTCTATGCCGACTAAGCCCCAATCCAGCGTTTGACCTGATCAACATCCCGCTGTGGGCTCTCGCCATGTCCACCTATGGTTATGAGAACTGCGTGTCGGGGACATTCTACGGTTTCACGAAGACTGAATTCAACCCCGGAGACACGCTCAACCTGCAGTGGGGAGCGATCGACGATGGGGCAACTCCACTCAACATCACCCTAGGGCGGGCTGGAGGATACATCGTTGATCCGATAATTGGTATGTAGCTGGGCTCACAAGTCCGCCTAATAGAAACTAACCCACGCGATTATATAGTTGGCGCCCAGTTCACCGAAACGAGTGCTCTCTACCAACTTGTTGTCAACGAAACCGCGAACTGTACCCTGGAAGAATACAGCTGGGCGATTCCGAAAGACTTCAACACGACTAATCCGGAGTATCAGATCGGACTTTTCAACGCATCCGTTCTTCTTGGTGCGGATGGGATTGCCTTGTTCGGTTGGCAAGCCTGGAGCCCAGACTTTTATGTCCGTCCTGCAAGCACTTCGACAACCGATGCAACCAACACGGCAACAGGCACAGCAAGTCAAACTTCAACCACGTCTTTGTCACCTGTTTCCGTCTCCGCATCGGTTTCTTCGTCTCCGGAAACTGAAAGCCAATCATCGAATACAAACACTGTTGGTATCGGCGTGGGAGTCGGTGTTGGTGTTGCAGCTCTAGCAGGCATTCTTCTAGGCGCATACTACTTCATGCGGCGACGTAGAAAGGCTCGGATTTACTCACAGAGCTTTTGGGATGGCCAGCAACATATGCCGGCTGAGTTACCAGCCACAGAGAAGCGGCCACCTGCGTATGAGCTGCAGGGGTGATCCAGGCATCAGCTGGGATAGTATTGAGAGAAGAATGTCGGAGCGAGATGGGAGTCGTGATTGTGAGTCTTATTACTGATGACATAAGTATATGTAAGCTGGAAGGACACATTGAAGGGAGCCTGTAAAGTATATATGATACCCAGTCATTATTTGTTTATTATTTGAAGGATGCTCTACTAGCTGCTGGAGTCAGTGTTTGTTGATCTTTAGTGTAACAGGAGGGGTGACAGTCAGTGACGTGCCTTGACTAGATGGAATGACACGGCAGAAACTGTATTGAACGAACCATTATCCTACATAGTGTAATACGAAAATGCTATACATTCTTTCTAAGTGAGATGATGCGCCTTGCAATATGACCACAAGTGACATGACTGTATCTTCTTTGATTTTCTGCCTGGCAGATACTCTCAAAATCGACCCCCAAAATATCACTAACACTATCATCTCCTGCTGCTATATCATCATCTAGATACTCAGAAGCAGCCTCAACCCCCAGCAAAACTTGACCCCAAAAACAGACATCTGCGCAAGCCCTCTCCAAAAAACACCTCGAAACCCAACCAACCACAAGAATTCTGAAGATTGATAGTAGCCCTGACTGGTCTAGGCAAAAAGATATCCTCTATAGACATTGTGTTATGCCTGGCGAGTCTGCCTGGCTTAGTGATCTTGGTGGGTAACCTATGGGTTCAGAGAAGTAATTTGCCAAGGCGTAATCGGGAGCGCTCATGGCCTGCTTTCAAGTATGATTCTCAGTAAATGCTGTTCCTAGCAGGTCAGAGACTCCCAAGAAGCTAGTATGGTCGGGCAGGAATGTACAAACACCTTAAGAAGATCAAGCCTAGAGATGCTGGGGTTGGTAAAGTGAGATCATCCTTCTATCTCCTTCCTCCTTTTCTATCTCCCGACCCCGGGAACGGCCTGCGCCACTCTGGGACGGTATGATTGGTTATTCGGTCTTTTCATAATCTACTAAGTAGCTTATCTACGTGCCCAGCCTCCTTTTCAAGTCACGTCCGTTCCCTCTCAGCCATTCGAGTGAGCTGAGAGACCAGGGCCAAGAAAAGGAAGTGGGGTCTAGGCAATCCTAGCGCTACTACTCTCTATGCTTGTTTTCTAAGATCCAATCGTTTTATTTTTGCTTTTAGCAGAAGAAGCTTATAGGTTGGAGGTCTGATCCGAAACAAGGACAAGCAGGGATGCTTCAGCTGAATCTCTTCCCACAGAATTACTGGCGGCATACAACCGTAGCCTTCATTTCTACTCGAAAGAATAATGAGATAATCAAGATTGTCTGATATCAGACTTAGTGAAAGAGATATCAACAGATTTATGGATATCAGTTGTAGAAATATAAATGCAGGAGCTCCTTCAGTATCGGGATCCCGCTGGGAGGCTGACCCAACTATTTTCCTGGTTGGAGTCTCACCCTAATGCACTAAAATCCTGAATCTGCCGCTGGGTGCCCGTAGGCAGACAGTACCCAAGGGCATGGGAGGGGTTTGGCGAGGTCTAAGTCATGCGTGTGTAGTTGCCTATTATCACGTGGGATTTGCTGATGTAGCTATAGCGCCTCCCTATTTATATTGCATCTCTCTACCCCTGTGCCATATTCTGCTTACGGTTTGCGGACTGCCATACCTGGTACTACTCCTTGAGCATCATTAATTCGATCAACGTCAATATGCCTCCGCCTACTCCCTCTGTACCCGAGGGTTGGAAAGCCGAGTTTGACGATCGGTATCAAGCATGGTAGGTATAGAACTCTTCTCTTCCTTCTTCCTTTGCTACTCCATCTCTGTATGTACACCACTGACGGCCCTACTACACTATAATAGGTACTATATCAATATCCATACCAGACAGTCCCACTGGGAACGACCAGACCAGCCAGCCCTGCCTGCTGGACCCGTTCCGCCTCCTGCCGGCCCCCCACCCAGTCGTGAGGCTGCTGCTACTACTACTACACGCGATCGACCAGTGGGCCAAGGAGATCCGAATCCAGATGACCATAACCTACCGGAAGTGTACATTCCACAGCCTTCGTCACAGTCTGCCTACGCGCCAAACCCAGAACAAGGACACACTAGCTACCAGCAGCCACAATACAGTTACAACGGCTATAATCACAACCTTACTTATTCCCCGTACCCTGCATATCCGAATCAGTATCTCAATCCATACCAAAACACCTATGATCCATCCCAGCCTCCCCACAACCAGAAGCAGAAGAAAAGCTTAGGGAAGAAAGTTGCAGCTGCCCTAGGATTAGGCGGAGGACTAGCCAGCGGAATTCTACTCGGGGAGAATATCTAGTCAAGCACTACAAATACTACAAGATGATTTTGCTAGCCTGCCACTGCCACTGTCCCTGATGTGAGACCTCAGTCTCTCACACCTCATCCTGTGACTGCTATGTAAAAATTATATATTAATGAATAATCAACTGATAAGAGAAATAAGATGGTCTAATTCAGAAAAAAAAAAAAAAATCTGTATAATTATAAAATATCAGAGTATAAAACTTTGTAATTACTGGGCAGATGACTGGGTCTGCCTGTGATACTAACGTGCTGGTGGAGATATCCGCTGAAAGGAATCGATAGAGCATGGCAATGCGCACCACGACTGAAAAGGTTGTAAGCAGGACCGAGAATAGCATAGTATAGAAAGCTTGTCCCAATGGCGATCTGATTCGAATATAGCATATTGCGGCATCCCCGTAATTTGGCTCGTCCCGGCCGGTACTGAAGGCAGGCCCAATCATAGTTGGCGGTAAACCCTAGGCCAATTGGTAAGTGGACACACAATGTAGTCATGGCAGCTAGCCGCCATGTACGCTCAGAGGAGTGAAGATAAAGGTGATTGCGCAACGCCGTCAGGCAAGAAAGATGTGTAATGGTAGAGAACCAGGTCAGACCTATGACAACTTGCCAATAGAATGTTTGTAGACCAGAGCCAAGCTGCGAAAGGCCACTGATAAGTATTGAATAGCCAGTCAAGAGCTGCATGTCACTGAATGCGATGATGCACTACGGTTATGACCCGCGTCAGTACAGCATGACAGGAGAATAATCATAGAAGCTTAGAAGAGGGGAGAAACCCTGATGAATGCTTCCTCAAAACTGGTATTATTGATGGAAATGCAACCAAATGCACCCAGACAAGTCATTGCTATACGTCTCGAATCCTCGAGTATGAGTGCGTCTATTGGGTTAGGGTAAAAGGCCCTGGGTACACTGTTCCTTCTGGACCCTTGAAATGGATCATGAGAGGGATCATATGCAACAAAGTAGTATAGTGCAAGAACCACGACCACTATTCCGGCTGTTATGATGTAGCTGAAAGCGACCTGTAGATTGCAGATTAGACTAGCCTTGTGCTCTCTTCAGAATAGGCTTACACCGGTGCCTGTGATATCACTGTTGGCGATCCATTCGGGAGATGGGCCTGAACAGTCGTACTTCCAAGATGTGCTCATTGTTTCTGGGGGCCTGAAACAAGAATCTGCAGGTAGGTAACCCACTAATAAATTTATCAAGGCAACAAAAACCTGCTCTGAAGGGAGTTGTCGCTCTTATGAGATGTGATGAAAAGCAAACATATGCATTCCAGCTCCGCCACAGTAAGCCCGCCCCGTGATGTGCTCAAAAAGGTAATAAAAGCCACGCACTGCCACTGGCCGACATGTTCAGGGATCTTTCTAACTCATGTCTTCCTCAGTTAGCTTTGACTCCCGAAAAACGCGACCATGCAGCCTCTACCACCCAGGACTCTTTCTGGCCATCAATAAGAGAGCAGAAGCTCAGTTTGCGCTCCGCTGTACTTCTTTGGATGTTTCGGGGGGTGCCTCATATCAGTCGAGCTGCTGGTACCATCGCTATGCGCAACAGCTGCAAGAGGTCTCGGTAAAGAAAATAATGCATACTTTTCAACTACCAGGTTCCTTACTACTAGTAGTAGGGACTGAGAAATATGTGGGACACATACACCCATTAACTCATCGCCAATCACACTGCGAACAGAACCTTAGAACAATATAGCTGAGCCATACCGACAACGCTAACACGACAAAATCAGAGTATCAAATCGGGCTCTTCTGAGGATGTATGCCCAGCGAAGTAAAGGTGCCATTAGTTCAAATAGACTGGCAACTACACTAAATGTCAATGGGTCGCTAGCGAAGCAATGAGTATTACTCACTACTAGATTGTAACACCTCGATCGTACGGATGTCCAGACCTTCTAAAGTTACTACTCTTCTAGTTAGTCATCTACCTATCATCAAAAGCCTGCCATATGTCGTATCAACCCCTCGTCTACTCTAGGAAATTGACTTACAATTTGACATATCTCTTTTCATACTATTCCCTAAACAACGACCTAAGTAACTACCATACCTGCACCAAACCATCAAATCCATACTCCCAGTGTGGAAACAAAGGTGCAAACATATCCGAAAGAAGAAGCAGCAACCCAACCACCATCCCAGACTACCCCCAAGAGATAAAACCATACCTTCCTCAAACCAAACACTACACACATCATCTACTACCCATTCTCTAGATGACATCAATAAATCCTCCTCCTCGCCTCATACAAAAACCCACCAAAAACATCCGGATCCAAAGTCGCCCTCAACCAGGCCCAATCCTCCTCATTATTCCTCAAAGCCCTCAAATCTTCATCCGTCGCCCCACCACTACTACCCGCCCACAACACCTTGGACAAAAGCATCTCTCGCTCACGATCCCGATTGACCCCATTCTGCCAATTCGGTGCAGGAGTAAACGGATACACGTATTTGAGCTTATTCTTGATCCAGGCTTCGTAGGATAGGATGGGTAGAGGGGTTCTTGGTTCATTCATCGGTATGAAATTAGCATTCGCTGACAGCTACAAACCATCACAACATAATACATCTAGTAGAGATCAAAGTGGGTAGTAGGCAATCTTACAAATACTCCCCCGTCCACTTATAATAAACCACAGGAACATCCTCATCCTCCTCCTTGCTTGCGGTCTGGCCGTAATCAACAAGAAACAGGCAGCGGGTAGACTCAATGGGGTACCGCTCGGTGCTGAAGGCGTAGCGGCGGTGCTTGGTGGGGATGAATTCGGTGTGCCAGTGTAGGTGGCAGATGTGGTTGATGAGGAAGGTGTTGCGGTCTTCGTTGGTGTCTCCTGGGAGGAGGTGGATGCGGGTGTCGACGAGGATGCGGATGGGAGGGTCGTAGAGGGATTTTTTGGGGTAGGGGGTGGGCAGGGGGTGGGAGAGGTCCATTGGGGAGGACATATTAACTGAAATGTATTAGATGGGGATGGGGATGGTGGTGAGGGTTATAGCGCAGAGTAAGAGGAAACGTAGGCATGCTTAGTGGCTATATAGTAGTACGTATGCTTTTTGATGAATGGCATGGTAGTTTCCTACCTTGAGGGTTTTGGATTAATGGGAAATACCAAGGGCTTGGGAATAGGGAATTGCCATGTTGATGAGTGTGTTGTAAGTGACACTCATGTAGAGAGAGATTCATCTTAGGGCACCTCACGGGACGTGAATAGGTGCTTGTAGGTTAGTAGGTTAATCCGTGACTGGTAATATTGGCATACAATGTTGAGAAGAATCCACATCTAGTGATCTTTGTTGCCATGGATTTTTCATTTAGTGATAGATGGATATCGATCTTGTATATAAGTGCCCTAGTTTCTAGGTATCACCAACAATCGGCAAAATCCTATAGTATGATGATAGCGACCGCATATGTTGATGTAGATACTTATACTTTACCCTTCTATGACTGTAATCATCGACCTATGGCAACTATATAAGCATCCCTCAGTTCATAGAATGTAGGCTTCTCTGTGTGAATATCCAGTAGTCAATCACATACAAGGATACTCATCAAACAGCGCACCCTGACACAGCAACCGTAAGTCGCTTCATCATAACTCCTAACTGATACTAGTATGTCGGAGGGAGGATCAATTAACTATGCAGCTTATGAATTCCCTCCACTGCATTACTATTCCGACCCAACATATGCACTCCCCCGGAGTGCTAAATCCGATATACCCGGGGAAATTGGGGATCCACTCAAGGGAAACTGGAGCGCCCCTCATCCTCGCTTCCGGGTGCTCCGGAGCTGTCAAGCTTAGCCTACTTCTTACAAACAGTGCTCTTTCTTTACATCTGTTTCACTGCTCCCTGTAAACGTTGCGCGTTTGTCCACGTTCATAATCTATTTGCTTTCCATGCATATATACAACCAGTATACACACTGATCAGAAAAATCACAGAGAAGGAGTGACTAGAACTTATCCGGGGTATCCACTCTAAACGCCTGAACGCTCACAAATCAAAGGAGTGAAGGCACTCATACAACAAACAGACACGAAGAAATGCTTTTTTGTTTTCTTTCATCATCATTCACTTCAAATGCCCCTTTCGGATGGCTCCGAATCCCTTCGTAAACAACTCATGAACCTCAACTGACCGGCGGGGGGTCTTGGGCACCTCTTCACCCTCCGGAGTGCTGGTGCCGTATCCGCCCAGTTCAACATCTTCCATCTCAACAGGATCAGAGCCTGTCTTGCTACCGGTCACCATCACTCGTGGCCGAGCAAGAAGTTCCCGAACCTGTTGTTCGCGCACTTCCATCTCTTCCTCGCGAGCCAGCTCAAAGCTGGATTTCTTCTTGCCGTGATCCCAGCCTTGTTGCAGCTCAGATGCAGCGGCTTCCTCAAACCGTCTTCGAATGTCCAAGTCCTGCTCGTATTCCTGGAAGACGTCCACATCCGTGGGGAAAAAGAGCGCCCGGACAGAACTCACGGTCATTTCGAACACGATCACTGCGATGACGGTGACGAGCAAAGCTGCCCAAAAAGCGAGGTCGTGACCCGATGCATAGACAAAGTTGCCCAGGACATGGTATATCCCGTCACCAGAGCTGGGGTTGTACCGGCGATCGAGGATCAAGTTCCAACAGAACCAACCACCAACGGAGATGATCCACACAACTAAGCACAGATACGTCTTGTTGTGCACCTCGAGGGCCTGTAGCTTGGTGTTGATGACGATGACACAGGCTGTGAACGAGAGCAAACCGGCTGAGAAGATGTCACTGCCTGTGTGCGTGAACATGACATTTTCAAACAGCCCAAACATGCAGAAATAAATCATCATGGCCTCACATGCAGCCATGAACGCCCAGCCTAAATACAGCCGAATGTTGAACCCGCCGTTGCGCTGCCCTTTTGTATATAACTCTGGGACAGCTAGGAGGGTGGAGGCAGAGAGATCTTTGGTGAAGATGCCGAGGAAGATGACGGCCAGAGACGTGAAGAGAGTATTAAACATACTCAAACTCCACGACTCATAGATACTGGTGCCAGTGTACCCGTTCCAGCGTTGGTATAGAGCCTGCGTCAGGTAGAACAGCATCTCCTTCCAGAAGGTCCCGAGCGTGTACTTGCACGCCCGGATATAGTTCCACCGACCGTGGACGAGGAGCAACTTCAGCAAGAACCTGAACTGGGCAATCGAATAATCCGAGATTCGGGCCGCCTGCAATCCCTCCTTACCAGTAATGCCGATGCCAACGTGAGCTTCCTGGATCATGGCAATATCGTTCGCACCATCACCAATCGCCAGCGTCACGCTACCCTTGACTTGTTGACGGATCGACTTGACCAGGAAGGCTTTCTGCTTAGGACTGGCACGGCAGCAGATAACCGAATCAACTAGCACGGCCAGCCTGAAAAACTGTGCCGCCAGGATTGGGTCTGACTCGATTATGGATAGTGTCTGCCCATCAACTACAACAACCGAATGAGCCACGCCGCCCTTGGAGATGTCGGCTGTCAATTTAACAATTGACTGCTCGACCTCTCCAGTCTCATGATCCAGAATGACAAGGGTCGAGTAATCCTTTACCAGACGGCAGGAGTGACCGATGTTGATGGCGGTCTCTCGCTTGTCGCCAGTCAGCATCCACATCTTGATGTTCGCACGGCGCAGCTTGTCGATCGCCTCGGGAACGCCCTTCTGCAGCTTGTCTTCGATGGCCGTTGCGCCAGTCAACTCGAGCTGTTGCTCGATCTGTTCACCAACCTGTTCGATCTTCTCCTGTCTGTCAACAAGGCTAGTGGAGGCTTCGTGATAGGCAGCCTTCCAGTTGTTGTAGGCAGCTTCGTCAAGGAAGCGGTGCCCATACAGGAGCGTACGCAACCCCTCCGTCGCAAAGTCGTTGAGATGCTGGAAGCAGCGCTCGAACACGGCAGCTTCGTTTACAACCAAAGCCTCCTCCACAAGCTCTTCCTCCTCATTTTCGTGAATAGAGCTGCCAGAATCCGACCATGTGCTCGAAGCGCGTCCCAATTGGGTAGAGGGGCGAGGACTGTAATACTCAGGATCGTCCCCTCGCGTCAAGATTCCACCATCGGTCTCCCGGTCGCGCAGCCAAACGTCGATGCTTTCTCTCAGAGCCGATACGTGATCACCGGTAATACTTGATCGCCGACGGGCCATGCTAGGCCGGCCAAAGCTGGTCCGAAGCCCGCTATCCTTACGATTGTGATACTCGCTGTTGCGCCTCACGACCTGGGCAGCCTCGGCCGCCTTGCGTTTGCTGACGCGCCTCTCAATCTCCACGGCCTTCTCCTGCGCGAGCTCGGCACGTTTCAGCAACCGCATCAGAATGCTATCAGCGCCCTTGCAGAACACGCAAATGCGTTGATCAGGCATCCGCACCACAACCGACATCCGTTTACGAGCGCTTGAGAACTCGATAACATCCATGATCTGATACACCTCATCACAAGGCTTGTCATCGGGTCCGTTGGGATAGGTCCGAATGGTGAGAGTATTTGGCTGCCGGTCGCGAACGAGGTAGCCAAGCTCCTGAGCGGCCATAACCAAGGCCAACTCATCGGGCGATGCTGCCTGGAACGAGACATTGCCAAGTTCGTCATCTTCGGGGATACAAGTGTGACACAACGCCATCGCCAAGATGAACATCTTGGCCTTGCGAGCAA